GAGGCTGAGGCAGGAGGATCTCCTTGAGTTTGATGCCAGATGGGTTGTATAACGAGACCCTGTCTCAAAAAAAAACCATTAAAAAAGGAAAAGAAAATGTAGTACTTATATTCAATGGAGTGTACTACTCTGCCACAAAGAAGGATAGACTCAAGTCATTTGTAGGAAAATGGATGTACCTTGAGATCGTAATGTTAAGTGAAGTAAAACAGGTGCACAAACTAAATAATGCATGGTAAGGAGTCCAATATATATACATGAAGGGCAAAATAAAAGACAAACAATAGGAAAGAAGGGAGAAAAAAGTTACTGAAATAGAACATGGACAATGTGTCTAAAACGATTCAGAGTAACTGTCTTATGTGTTTTATGTGCTTTTTTTGCCTGTTAGTCTGGTTGTTAATGTGTTCGTAATACTCAACTTGACATATAAAATAAATATATGAATTTTAAAAATGAATATTAATCATAAAATAACATAAATAAATGAATAAATGAATATTCATAAAATATGAATGACTCATAAAATAAATAAATGAATCTGGTACTGCCAAATTTTTTTACAAAGGAGCGGAGAGGAAGGGAAAAATAAAGAATGTGAACATGTCCCATACATATGCCCAGTCCTCACAATGAGTGCAATCATTATGTCCTGCGAACACGGACAAATACAAATTACAAATTTGGAAGGAGGTGGTGACATCACACTGTGCGTCTCCTCCAGAGTGGCACCGTGGGAGGCAGGACAGTGCGCCCCCAGCCTCAGGGCAGGTGCCCCACCTCCTTTGCTGTATTCGAGGGCTGTTGACCACAGGAGCTGTTACACAGGAACCCAGGGGCGAGAGCAAGCTCAGTGGTGGCTTGGTTCGTGAACTTAATTCCTTTCATGATTTTGGCCTCAAACTGAATTGGTTGCCAAGTGAGTCAAATTCAGTGGTTAGGTTCAATGTTTTTTATTTTAAAGAGAACAAAAAACAATAACAAAATAACAACAACCCAGACAAAAACCAGAGCAAGAACAATAAAAATGATACAGGGTTTCAGGACAAAACGATAGGAATTAACTGGTTGTTATATTACGTATTGTTTTCTTCAGTAAAGTTGCTCAGATCACCAGATGTAAGAACGCAAGATTGATCAAACCATGTAAGAGAATAAAAAATAATAAACAACCATTAGAAATGCCACAGAGCTTCACTAAACAGATGGTAGGAATTCAGCAGCGGTTGTTATATTGCATACTGTTGTCTCCATGCTGACCTCATGGGGAAATTTGATTCGGTTTGCAGCCTATTCAGTTTGCGACCGGAATGGTGGGAAGAATTAAGTTTGCGAAGAAATACCACTGACTCCTGCACTCCGTACAAGGGTGCTGACTGAGACCCTGCCTGCTGAAAACGGAGACCCTTACCCAGACAGAAACGCAGTGTAAATGTAAATCCTGCTCCAGCAGGAAACAAGCAACTAGCTGATGTCCACAGGGATGGTAACTTCCTGGCCCCTCCCTGTCGGTCTCTTGCTGGCAGGTGAGGTTCTCCACCGAGGACAGAGAGGTGCTCTCCAGGCTGGACTCTTAAACATAGTACCACGTAGCGGCCCCCGCCATCTTTGTCACCTTTCTGGTCCATCCTCTGGAGTACACGTATGTTACTGAGGTACCCACATCAGTCACATTTCTGTTTCACCAGGTCTGGATGTCACCAACATCTTGGTTATCATGGTGCTGTGCTGAAGGTGCAGAAGATCTACATCTTTTGGGGCTACATTATGAGGAAGAGGAAAGGAATGCCCACAGCACTGGGCCCATGAATTCATGCTACTCTTGGTTGCATGCAAACTGCATCTGTTTCTGCTTGTATGCTTTATTTTAACAGCTGCACTCACCAGTTTAGTGTCTATAAATCCCACACCAAAAACTATGTTAATATGCTGTGGCCAAGATCCTGCTTCCATAATACAGTGGTACCTTGGTTCCCGAACTTAATTCGCTCCACGATTCTGGGGAAGAGGGCCGCGTTCGTGTTTGTGTGGGAGACGCGGCTGCAGTCATGTTATAACCTGATGCGGGTTCTTGATCAGAAGCAAAGTTGTGCTGCGTGTTTCATTCACGAACCGAGGTACTGCTGTACAGTCTACGCAGTATACAAACACACAAGTACACATATAGCTCCTAAATATGTAAATAAAACTTGATTTGTGTTGCACAACAACATAATTTAATAGAAAATATGTTAATTGTCCTATCAATTAGAGATGGTTATGGCGGCTCTCTTTTAGACTGTGTTATTATTACATCGTGATTCACCTCATGGTAGTACCGTTTAGCTACAGATAAAATACACACCAGGTTTTATTAAAAATGTGAGTCTGCATTAATATAAGTGGTACCTGACAGGAAAAGCCTTTCGTTTCGCATGCCTTTCTTTAAAGGTTATTCTATCATGTGTCCAGGTTACTGGCAGACACAGAACACAGTCCCTGAGTGGTGTTTGCAAGGGTCACTTGAATCCATTCATTCAAACTTCCCTGGAGCTTGCTTAACTCAGTTCTATTTCAGGGCATTCTAGAAAGACAAAGCACGTCCAGTTTAAAAGGAAAAGAAATATTTAATAAACTATTGGACTGCCAATACGAGTCTGTATGATGGAAGGAGCGTAGTTTAGGAAGAGTTTAGGGGATTTGTGGGCATTGTCCAGGTGACAATCATCAATTTTGCTTCTGTGCACTCTGGGAGCGTTTGGGGAGGAGGACACGGAGTGAAGCACGTCCCGAGGTAGAGGCTGCTCTCTAAGACAGTTCTGCGTGCTGTCCGTAGTGACTTCCCACTGCGCTTCATGTAGGGGCAATTGTCATCTTTGCGGGCTGCTGGGTTTGCCATTAGTGATACAAAATAGTAAAGAAAATGTCAGTGTTTCAGGCTGCGAAGGTGGGGGTTTCCTGTTCGGGGTAATTTTCTTTGTTACACGGGTGCCAGCAATATTTCATTGCTTTGACTGGTCTTGTTTGGGACTGACGCAGGTACATGCACACCTCAGATGCAGAGGTGAGGCTTAGGCTTCCTTGCCTGCAAGAGAGCCTGAGGAGATGTGAAAGCTTCCAACCCCAGGGCCTGCTCCAGCCCACGTAAATCAGAACTGTGTGGTCAGCCGCCAGGCACTGCCTCTTCTCCGCTCCTCAGCTGAGTCCACTCTGAGCCAGCGAGGGCTGCTGGCTGGGGCTGGGGCACACGGCAACGGGACAGTGATGAAAACACAGCCTGCCTTTGCAGGGGTGGGGAGAGAGTTCTTCTGCTTTCCTTAAATTTATATACAAACTTCTCCCAAAAAATTAAAAAGAAATCTTTCTTCCATATCTCTATATTTTTTTCTCTCTTGCACAACAAGCCCACTGAAAGTCTTCCTGCCTACATCATGTGATGGTGTAAGTCTTTCACGTTTTCCAGATTTACAGACATAAATCTGTCAAAGAAGAACAAATGAATCAAGTATTTGCCAAGTAAATTCATAGGAGGAAAATAGTGCCCAGGGCCTTGGTCACTGAATACGTGGAATGAAGGCATGTAAGGTGTCGTCATCTTAGAGACACCGGCGATTCTTATCTGCTTGTTTCTAAACTCAAAGGGGCCCCAGTGACAGCTGAGCAGCTTCCTCAGTATTAGTGACTGCACTCACCCCGTCATTGGAGACCACTTTTGCACACTTTCTGCTCACTCCATCCCCACTGTGAACAAGTGTGAGCTGATGCCTTTGATCTACATCTCTGTTATCTATATTTCTTCCTTGTTCTCCCTGATTTTGTGTGTGTGTGTGTGTGTGTGTGTGTGTGTGTGTGTGTGTGTGTGTGTGTTTACAAAACGTAAACAGTGAGATCTGGTCAACAACTTGAATCTTGGTGAATGAGAGAGTGCAGTGCCTTTTCAGAGCCGAGCAACATAGAAGGGTTCTGGGAATCCCATCCAAAGACCGAGAAACCACGATGTAGTGGCGAGCTGACACATCCTAGGAGCCCTGTTCTTACGGCAGGAGTCTGTGTTCCACGTGCACACCTTCCCTGCCAACATGACTCATCAGAAAGCAGTCATTAGACCATCATTATGTTTCAATCTTCTCTGTCCACAGAAGGAATTACGACTGTATAAGAATCATCATTGTTCATGAGAAGGAAACATGTGCTATGCAAATTGAGACTTTAGAATAATAGGGTACCAAGAGGCAGAAGCAAGAAAGAAAATCTCGAAGTTGAGGAAGAATGATGTATGATGAACCCCAACACATCAGGAAAGGAAATGATGCTTTGCATCTGCTAGGAAAATTTTGTCAGGAGAATACACTTAACGAATTAGCTAATTGCCTGTTTATTAACACAAACAACAGGGAAGAGTGCTGCTTGTGGTGACAACAGCTGCTCAGCAGGGTATAAAAGGGGCCAGGGGCAGGCAGGCTTCCAAACCTCTCAGACACCTCCATCTCGCAAACCCACCCAGAACCTCCAGCCGCC